GAAACATATTTTTGAATGTGGGGTCTGTTTTTTGTGACGATAAGTGACACTGCAGTAGCGTAGCGAGGAGGGGGGGGGGCGGGAGGGGAGGCGGGGGGGGGGGGGGGGGGGGGAAGGGGAGGTGGAGGGGGGAAGGGGGGGGACATATGTTGGGGCGCCAAAATGGTTTGGAAAAATAAATTGAAAGGTTGAGGGGGGTTCAAATCGAAAGTTTGAGTGGGGGGGGGGTGCACATCAAAAGTTTGAGGGGGGGGGGGGTTGAAAATCGAAATCTTGGGGGGGGGGGTTTAAAATCGAAAAATTTGTCCCCGGGCGCCGGGAAGGGTCGCTATGCCTCTGAGTGACAGACGTGATGTTTTTTGATGGATGACCCCCGAAACCCACAGTTATCCAACGGATGACGGGTATTCTAGTAGGGAATAAAAATTGATCTTCAAGTATCTCAGAGAACGATCTTGAAAAAAAAAAAGTTGTTTTGAATTATTATTTTTTTTACTTCCTCGTATAAAGAAAGAATAAAAATCGTGATGAAAAAATTAAATGAAATTTTAAAAGTTGTCGCCGTTTTCCCCACTAATCCTACACGGAACAGAAAGGACACATTGTAATAGTGCAATGATGTTAAACCTTCCGGAGCCATTTTTTTTATTGTTTTCCCATCCTGTCCGTCTGTGTGTCTGTAAACACGATAACTTGAGTACCATTTCGGTTATGTTGACCAAATTTCATTTACAATTATTACATCATATTTGTAGTTTTCTTTCAAGTTTTGAGAGATTTCCCGCTAAGCAGAAGTTACACGTAATATTTTTACGGCATCTCAAGTGATGATAGCCAGAGTATTATTCAAGCTAGGTAGATAACATTTCAACGTAAAGGGGGGAGGGGGGGGGGCTGGATAACTATACAAGTAGTTTGACAGGCCCCCCATTTGTATCGCTCAGAAGGAAATCATTATCGCGATGTCTTTACCTTCTCTGTTTGAAATAACTCAGTGGGTGGTGTGGATATAGTTGCATCTATACTAGTGTGTGTGTGTGTGGGATGGGGGGAGGGGGTCGGGGGGGGATATAGTTACCTATGTACTGGTATGTGTGTGTGTGTGTTTGTGTCCGTGTGTGTGTGTGTGAGTGTATGAAGGTGTGTGGTGTTTGGACAAAAGACTGTTCGTTTAAATATAGATCACGAATTCATGTAATGTATTATCAGCTGTTTGTTGAGAAGTAGGCAAAAAACAGTGTTCGCGAGTATTGGCAAAAAAAAAAATGTGTTCGCGAGTATTGGCAAAAAAAAAACAGTGTTCGCGAGTATTGGCAAAAAAAAAATGTGTTCGCGAGTATTGGCAAAAAACATTGTTCGCACTTCGACAAAATTTAAATATGTTCATATGTCTTTTGAATACTCGTAAATATCATAAATATAAATATACTACCGAATAACAATTTTTGTTGAAAACATAACATATGTTGCCCGTATTCATGGACATGTTGATAATGTAGGCAAACTATCGATTTTTACAAACTGAAACTTGTCTTGTGACTTACTTTACGGGAAACTTTATAAGTTTGGCCTGATGGTGTCAGCTAGATGTGAAAACTCGGAAACTGGTGTGCACTACTCATCCACTAACACTGATCTGTTGAGGTCATGACCTCGTAAAATGACGACCTCACATAATAACAGACCAGTGGGAAAATTAATTGCTTACTAACTGCTCCATAATTTTCCGATTACAAAATTAATAAACTGTTGTCGAACGTGTTTTAATTTTTAAAATTTCGCACCCCTGCGGTACTCCGTGTGGATTTGATCGTTCACCCCGGGGGTCGGAATAGGTCGCTACAACTCAGTGGAACAGTGGAATGGCTGGGGGGAGGGGGCGGGGGGATTGATTTTCCACCACCACCCCTGCGTACCCCACGTACACATAAAATATGTATAATATATTTGTTAAGTTTTGAATATTCTACAAATAAATGCGTCTTAATCCTTTTAAACAGGCTACGAATGAGGCGATTGTATACAAGGATTACTTTAAAATCATGGGATTATAACAGATTGTTGACGAATACATGGATCTAAATCATTTTAAAGTAAAAAGCACGGATTTGGGGGATGGGGGGGGGGGGATAACTTAAGTCCAAGGTCGCGTGACTGGGGCAAGCTGCTCAACTTTAGAACATTCTGGAGTTTCTTACAATGTGCGTACTTGCATTACCACGCCTGATATACTTACATACAAATGTAGATTTGTATTACAGGATTACATTGAAGTCGTGTACTCTCGTGCATACCGTGTTCAGTTCTGTACCGAGAGAGAGAGACAGAGAGAGACAGAGAGAGACAGAGAGAGACACCTCTCACATCACACACCTCTCCCACCACACACCTCTCACACCACACATCACACACCTCTCACACCACACACGTCTCCCCACCACACACCTCTCCCACCACACACCTCTCCCACCACACACTACACACCTCTCCCACCACACACCTCTCCCACACACACCTCTCCCACCACACACCTCTCCCACCACACACCTCTCCCACCACACACCTCTCCCACCACACACCTCTCACACACACCTCTCACACCACACACCTCTCTCCACCACACACCTCTCCCACCACACACCTCTCCCACCACACACCTCTCCCACCACACATCTCTCCCACCACACACCTCTCCCACCACACATCTCTCCCACCACACACCTCTCCCACCACACACCTCTCCCACCACACACCTCTCCCACCACACACCTCTCCCACCACACACCTCTCCCACCACACACCTCTCACACACACCTCTCACACCACACACTACACACCTCTCCCACCACACACCTCTCCCACCACACACCTCTCCCACCACACACCACACACCTCTCCCCACCACACACCTCTCCCACCACACACCTCTCCCACCACACACCTCTCCCACCACACACCTCTCCCACCACACACCCTCTCCACCACACACCTCTCCCACCACACACCTCTCCCACCACACAACCTCTCCCACCACACACCTCTCCCACCACACACCTCTCCCACCACACACCTCTCCCACCACACACCTCTCCCACCACACACCTCTCTCACCACACAGCCTCTCTCACCACACACCTCTCCCACCACACACCTCTCCCACCACACACACCTCTCCCACCACACACCTCTCCCACCACACACCTCTCCCACCACACACCTCTCTCACCACAACACCTCTCTCACACACACCTCTCACACCACACACTACACACCTCTCCCACCACACACCTCTCCCACCACACACCTCTCCCACCACACACCACACACCTCTCCCACCACACACCCTCTCCCACCACACACCTCTCCCACCACACACCTCTCCCACCACACACCTCTCCCACCACACACCTCTCCCACCACACACCTCTCCCACCACACACCTCTCCCACCACACACCTCTCCCACCACACACCTCTCCCACCACACACCTCTCCCACCACACACCTCTCCCACCACACACCTCTCCCACCACACACCTCTCCCACCACACACCTCTCTCACCACACACCTCTCCCACCACACACCTCTCCCACCACACACCTCTCCCACCACCACACCTCTCCCACCACACACCTCTCTCACCACACACCTCTCTCACCACACACCTCTCTCACCACACACTGTACAGAGAGAGAGACACAGAGAAATGGATCTTGTGGCCTGATGTGATCACCCACCTATAGTCATCACACAGCTAACACATGTCTCCCACACACCTCACACACACACCACACATCTCACAACACCAGTTGCCTCTTGTCATGTAAATATTTTCGTTACATATTTAATATAGTTTTAATTACAACTCAATTATGTTTATTAATTATGAAAACTAAAACGTGTTTGTTCTATTTGAAAAATTGCAAATATTGTTAAAACTTGTATCGTGTCAAAATTGATCGTGCGGTTTGATCATAGCTTAAATAAATGTTCGCGCTAGTGAAGTACCCAGTCGTTGAATTTGTTGCCCACACAAGATCAAATATTCTGCCTTACAAAGGACGAAGCCGAGGCAGAAGATCAGAAAAAGAAGTTTAGCCCTGACAGTGGAAAGTCTCCCAAAAAAAGGGAACTTGAAGAACTCTCAGTTTGTGAAAATCAAAAAAAGTTTATAAAAAACGATTTCTCAACCGTCAAGTGACCTTCACTTTTCTATTACTCAAAATGAACTCCACTGTTACTCTGACCTCATGACCCCCCCCCCCCCCCCCCTCTGCACTCTCGAATAAGGTTTCACTGACAACGAAATGTGATTGGCTGAAGGTTTGCCAGCGTCCTTAGTTACCGGTGTTATGGCTGGGTCCATTGAATTGACCACAGAAATCGTGAGTGAACACACACGTGAAATAGAAAGTGGGCGGCGCCAACTCGGCGATTGGACGTCTGACCCACACTAAACCTGGTAAACATTTGTAAAATTTAAATATCTTCTATTTTTGTATGAAAGTTTTTTTTTAATATTGTTTTTTAAAAATAAAAATATATTTTTAAATTACTGTCTATTGTTTGAATATTTCACGTTTATTTCTAGCTAATATTTAAACATTCCTCTATTTCTATATTTAACGTATAGCGATGTAATTGCCCGCCTACTCATACATTTAAAACACACGAATATTCCGGCTGATATTGACAAAGTTAGAATTGAATAATCAGATGGCACTTGTCATGCTAAGGCTGTTGCCCATCTGTTGCCCATTGTTGCCCATTGTTGCCCATTGTTGCCCATTGTTGCAGCAGATAATGGCGCAGGAAAAACAAAAACACGACATGAAGTGTGAGCAACATTTACTCAACCCCGCACACGGTCTGGTGGTGATCTCAATAGCTCCAGACTCACAGGGCTCTGCGCATGACAAGAGGTGAGCAAGGTGGTTAGGGCATGGTTAGGTTTGTGGTTTGTGGTTAGGTTTGTGGTTAGGTTTGTGGTTAGGTTTGTGGTTAGGTTAGGTTTGTGGTTAGGTTTGTGGTTAGGTTTGTGGTTAGGTTAGGTTTGTGGTTAGGTTTGTGGTTAGGTTTGTGGTTAGGTTTGTGGTTAGGTTAGGTTTGTGGTTAGGTTTGTGGTTAGGTTTGTGGTTAGGTTTGTGGTTAGGTTTTTTGTTAGGTGTGTGGTTAGGTTTGTGGTTAGGTTTGTGGTTAGGTTTTGTGGGTAGGTTTGTGGTTAGGTTTGTGGTTAGGTTAGGTTTGTGGTTAGGTTAGGTTTGTGGTTAGGTTTGTGGTTAGGTTTGTGGTTAGGTTAGGTTTGTGGTTAGGTTTGTGGTTAGGTTTGTGGTTAGGTTTTTGGTTAGGTTAGGTTTGTGGTTAGGTTTGTGGTTAGGTTTGTGGTTAGGTTTGTGGGTAGGTTGTGGTTAGGTTTGTGGTTAGGTTTGTGGGTAGGTTTGTGGTTAGGTTTGTGGTTAGGTTAGGTTTGTGGTTAGGTTAGGTTTGTGGTTAGGTTTGTGGTTAGGTTTGTGGTTAGGTTAGGTTTGTGGTTAGGTTTGTGGTTAGGTTTGTGGTTAGGTTTTTGGTTAGGTTAGGTTTGTGGTTAGG